AGTTGATGACTTCATTATGAGTATGCAGAAATCACCAGCACTCACCAAGCCTTCAAAAGTCTGTTCTAATCTATTGAAATTATGAATTTATGGCATGATTGTAACTTCATATAGCAATTCATAAATCAGTGAGACCAGCAGAAAATAACTGGAGTGAATTCTTTGTTGTAACATTGAAAATGCAGTAGTAACGATAGCTCTTTTGACTTCATTATCTAAGAGTAGTAAATTTCTAACTTAGAAATATTGCACTTTCTAGTACTTTTATTGAGTGATACTGACCTTAAGTATTTTTTTCTGACATTGGGGATGAGACAGTCTGCAAAGGAAATAGAACATTATGGAAAAAAAAGAGAAATATTTCTTTTTGAGAGATGCACCCTGTATTTACTGAGGTGTCAGTCATCCAAAATAGTCCTACTGAACACGAACTGTAAATTCATCTATTGATATGATTCAAATTATGTTTTCCATCATTGGAAACTCATATAATCTGCACAACGAAGTGACCTATAACAATGATGAATAGAAGCTGTGTTGAAATCTGTCAGTTGCTGAGTCATGTTTTCCAAAAATATTGTTGACAAAGTAGATGTAAATGATTTTCCTGTAAAATCCTGTGAAGATTAATTTGGTTACATTAATGCAGTGGCAGCTCTCTTCTTCCAGTTTGGCTGTGGTAATGGAAAATATTAACCTACTGTGATATTTTTTTAGTAGTGCTCTCTAACCTGATTCAGCTTTGATAAGACAGGTTTCTGTACATTGTGGTTTAGGCAACTAAGCTGATTAGTGAAAGTGCCAACCTTCAGTACAGAGGTTGGTGAAAAGTAGCTGTAATTCATTATTTCTTTATCTCAGACTGCTGGATCTGAAAAGGAAATAATAAAATGGTTTGGGTTGGAAGAGATTTTAAAGATCATCGAGTTCCAACCCCCCTGCCATGGGCAGGGACACCTCCCACTAGAGCAGGTTGCTCAAAGCCCCATCCAGCCCGGCCTTGAGCCCCTCCAGGGATGGGGCATCCACAGCTTCTCTGGGCAACCTGTTCCAGTGCTTCACCACCCTCACAGTAAAGAATTTCTTCCAAATATCTAATCTAAATCTCCCCTCTTTCAGTTTAAAACCATTACCCCTTGGCTTATCACGATACTCCCTCATAAAGAGTCCCTTCCCATCTTTCTTGTAGGCCCCCTCTAGCTACTATAAGGTCTCCCTGGAGCCATCTCTTCCAGGCTGAACAACCCCAACTCTCTCAGTCTGTCTTCACAGGAGAGGTGCTTTATCCCTCTGATCATCTTCATGGCCCTCTTCTGGACTTGCTCTAACATGTCCATGTCCTCCTTATGTTGGGGGCTCCAGAACTGGATGCAGTACTCCAGATGGGGTCTCACTAGAACAAAGTAGAGGGACAGAATCACCTCCCTCAAACTGCTGGCCATGCTTCTTTTGATGCAGCCCAGGATGTGGTTGGCTTTCTGGGCTGCCAGTGCACATTGCTGACTCATGTTGAGCTTTTCATGAATCAACACCCTCAAGTCCTTCAGGGCTCTTCTTAAGCCATTCTCTACCCAACCTGTATGAGTACTTGGGATTGCCCTAAGCCATGTGCAGGACCTTGCACATGGCCTTGTTGAACTTCATGAGGTTCAGACAGGCCCACCTCGCGAACCTGTCCAGGTCCCTCAGCATGGCATCCCTTCCCTCCAGCTTGCTGACCACACCACACAGCTTGGTTTTGGCAAACTTGCTGAGGGTGCACTCAATCCCCCTGTCCATGTCACTGACAAAGATGTTAAACAGCACTGGTCCCAGTACTGAACCCTGAGGAATGCCACTCACCAGCGGTCACCACTTGGTGCAGTCATTGAGCTATTAACCACAACTCTTTGACTGCGGCCATCCACCCAGTTCCTTACCCACTAAGTAGTTCATTCATCAAACCCATGTCTCTCCAATTTAGAGACAAGGTGGTTGTGTGGGAGAGTGTCAAATGCTTTGCACAAGTCCAGGTAGATTACGTCAGTTGCTCTTCCTTGTTTCTACCAATACTGTAATGCCATAATCGATTTCTGGTCTCAGGAGGATGAAGAATTATTGAGCTTCAGTCTGCATGGACTCAGAGATGGCCCTGATTTCAAATGCAAAAGAATATTCATTAAGATGTAAGCATAGTTATTACTTCTTCAGTTATGGGAATTTGGGATATTAATATAACTGAGTTATTCTGTATACCCTTGTCAGATATGTTTTTTATAATTATCTTAATATCATTTTTTCTTGTAATTCAGCTCATCTTTGTTACAGCTTCTTCTATCTATCTATACTAAACCAGAAACATCATACACATGGACAGAACTGGGGTACATGGAAGTCCAAATGCATGCATATTATTTAGGTCATTAGCTTTTCCTGTATGTGTTACAAATTATTGTAATATCACTTTGGTTTGGGTTTCGCAATGTGCGTGATATTTCTTTTGATGGAGCTGAGGACATCATAGCTAGCTTCAGTCACAGAATATAATGCTTTAGCAGTCTCCTTTCCTTCAATTTCAGAAATATGTTTTTAGTAATCATCTATTGCAAAATATTTTTTCCCCGCTTTTTTTTTTTTTGCTTGGTACAATGTTTAGGTGCTCTTTAGAGGTTAACAGCGTAGGATTTCTTTGTGAGCTTAGAATTATTGCTGTAGCTTCTGAACTAATAATCTCTGTATTCTATTTATACTGGTTTAGGACATTATTACTTAGGCACTAAGTAATTACTTAGGCACATTTCATCTAAAAAAAAATCAATTCAGTGTGATTTTTATATGTAAATTTACACCTAAAACTCATTGCACTATTAGCCTCTGATATTAAATGTCCTGTGCACATTGTTTTCTTCTAGTTTATTGTATTGTAATAGTGATAAGAATGGATTCCTTACTAGGCAAGTTTTACAAATATATAATTTGGTTAAGGTGTTTAGTCCGAGATTTCAAGTAGTTCAATTTGCTGTCCTGATAAAAACCAAACTGTTCAAGAACAGCTGGTCCCTTTTTGCAAACTGATATTTTGTAAGACAAAATATGCCAAGTAAAATGAGAAAATACAGTTATCAAGTTAATGGCAATGATGGGATTCTCTGTCGTCATAACTCTACTTGGAACAGAGTGGGTTATCTTGGCAATTAGTTTACATTACAGAGGGGATGGTGGGGCAAAAAGACTTGTATGGTGAGGGAGGGGGTTCACTTCACAAAGATCTGCTTCATCAATTTATGTGTGACTAGGAAGTTGGAAGGACTCATCCCCTCAAGACATAGGAGGTTAGGACTTCCATGTGTCTGAATAATCAATGTGAGAAAGGCCCAGCTGAGTGTGGACATATGGGTCTGGATTAGAAGTGTATGTGGAGAGAAGTGGTGAGGTAAGGTGCATGTTGGAGACACGTTGCATCAAGCAGTTCAGGAGCCAGCTCTGATTTCTAAAACTAATTTGACCAAACTGAGCTGAACTATGTTCAGCACAGCCCTGAAACTCTGTTGTCAGCTCTGTTGATCAGCTCACTTGAACCTCTTTTGTTTCAAAGAATGGAAGTGACAAATAATGAGGATACAACAGGAGATTCTATTTTAATTGTTATTTCAAGTTCCACGGAGAATAAGTGTTATCTCATATTTACATTTCATTTTATCGTATGTTAGATTTTTTTAAATAATCTGCACTGGACAAGAGATGGATCACAGCAAGTTCTAAAGAAATAAAAACATGACATATTCTGCCAGAATGGCTATATCTTGGGTGCTGAAAGTCTTGATACAAGAAGTGGTTTGGAGAATGAGATTAATTATTTTTTCAACCTTTACATTTTTCCTGTCAAAATGCTTATAAAAACCACAACACTGAAATGTGGGTCTAAATTAATGACTTCAAACATGTTTGGAGTTTGCCTGTGATGTTACTCCTTTGCTTTCTTTCTGATAAAATGGTACTTTCAGGAAAAATAATACTCTTAGCAATTGCATGGGCATTTTCTTATTTATCCTAGTACTATGCCTCCATAAAAATCCATTAAGGCCTAGAAATGTACTATATATGCACATTTGGCTGATAAATATACATCTGGTCTTATTACCATTCATGAAGTAGCAGATCTTTGAAATGTTTACAGCAATTCCAGGGAAATTTCCTGGGAAATTTCAGGGAAGTACATAATCCTAGGCATTCATTTTATACTGGCATGAGAACACTAACATTAAGCTAATGTTGGCAATATAGAATCTTCTTTGTATACAAGATTACAAAGGTTTCTTTGATAGCTGCTTTTTCCTAAATAAGCACTCCAATATTTCCTTTTTACTGTAAAAATATTTCTTCAACACAGCATGCAGAAGTTTTACTATAAAATTGTTATGAAGCCTTTGGCAATAAAATGGTAGATAGATTTAGAAATTTGTATACACCAGTAAAACTAGTAATCTGAGCTTTAAAATATTTTATGGCAAATTTAAATCCCGTCTTACTGATGTAAGATACTTGAATGATTTAAATTGTTGGTGTAATCTTGCCATCTGTAGAACATTAGATGTGTTTTATGTGTGTTCCAGTAGTCATTTTCTATAAATGTAAATATGTAGAAATTTATAGAATCATAGGCATGTTCAAAACAGAGTGAGGCAGCTGTGTGTTTGGTTGTAAAGAATTTCATGTTCAGTTCTTAGTGTATTATTAATTTTAGTAGATATTTTATTTTTTCTCCTTTCTTATTGCAGTTTGAATTATTATTTTTACCCCCCCAAAAAGGACAAAATTTTGCTGCAACTTCTCTTTTTTTGGTTATTTCAAAAAAAAGGTGCAGCCTCTGTTCACATAAATGTAAATTGTGAGTAAGCATATTACACTTGTTCAAGAAAAATCATCTATGAGTAATGGCTCATAATTAATTTTGTGGTTTGGTGTTTTTGTTGTGTTTTTTGTTTTATTTTGTTTTTTGTTTGTTTGTTTTGTTTTCTTAGGATACTATTGAAATTCCTATTCCCATCACTAATCCTGCAGATAACATTCTCCAGCTGAGTGTGGTGCTGGAGAATCCATCACTTTATGGAGAAAAGGCTTTCACTCTTGGGCCCAAACAAACATTTTTATATCAGCTACAGTTCTGCCCAGCTGTTGTTGGCACTTCAGATGGAAGGTAAGTTACAGAGTTTTGATACTTGTGGTTATGTCTCTTGTACCAATAAGTTAACTTCTTTCATTGAGACTTCAGTCATTTGATGTAGATATCACCTTAAAAAAACCCCGCAAAAGGTAATAAATGGAATTTTAAAAATTTCCAACTTTAAATATATTGTATCCCAAACAGCAGCTTTTCTCTGAGGGGAAAAAAATCTGACTGACAGGCAGTAGAATAACCCCTAGTAATTCTAGTTCATTAGAATTCAGTGAAAAATGGTTCAGAAATGTATTTAATATTAGAAATCTTGTCTGAAAACCAGATGAATTGTTAGTTCTCTAAATTTTTAAGTTTGGTAAAGGGAATAAGATGATTTAATTTTTCTTCGAAGAAGGAATGAAACTATAAGATAAACTACGCATTACACAACTAAAACTAGGTGAAGAACCCTTTAGCAGTCTTCACACAAATCCATTGAAGTTCAGAATCTTTCATTAATTAACAGTGATCTACTAAATTAATATGAATATGTAATTTTAAATTACGAATTTTTCATTACATTGGAAATCCCAACTAAACCATGCAGGTATTATAATTAGCAATGCAAAGACAGGTGACCTCTTCCTCTTAGTTTGAACAAAACCAGTTCAGCAAGTAACTGAAGACTACAGAATTGCAAAGATATTTTCCTGGAATTTGGTTAGCAAAGCATTATTTAGTTGAAGGGCTGACTGAATAGGGCTGTTTTTCAGTTGTATAAATTGACTGGCAAAAACATGGGGATGGGGAGGAGGGTGGGATGGTAGTTTATAAGGAGGGTAGAGACAGATGACCTGTGTTCAAGGACCCAATATTTATAAAGCCAAAATCCCTGTATTTCAAAGGTTTGTTCAATTTGCTTGTATTGATTTTCCCAAAGACCGGAATAATGGTAGGTATCACTGTACAATACAGCTTTCAAGAAACACTATTTTATAAAAATGAGTACTGTTACCACTCTAGTAAATATTTTTTTTTCTGTAGGAATTTGTAGAAATTATGCATTTTGAAGCTGTGAATGAGAATAGACCTCTTTTTTTTTCATACCAGATAATATTTCTGGTATTTTTCAAGTGCAGAATTTCTAAATAATAAAGGTTTGTTTTAACTGCCAAAAATTTGGCCTTAGCCAATGGGTAGACTGGGACTATGGAGAATATATGCAAAGATGTCATAAAGTACGTATTGAGTACAACATATATTGAATACAACTATGCAGTACTGTACTAGAAAACCATCTGATAGCTGGTTTAAATTGCAATAACACCCAAGGACTACAATTACAGCTGGCCAGAGGTACTTTCGCATTACATCCACACTATTATCTTTTTTTCTGAAGGCATGCTCTGTTTCCTTTGCTATGGTAGCAGCTGGGAGGAAGTGTTATAAAAATGTTTGTGGCAGGTGTACTTTTTCATATGGATGATTCTTTCCTAAGCTATTTTATGCTCACTTTAAAGGCTCTGTTGGCACAGAGGATAGTTTGGAAACATGAAATCACAGAACAGACATAGTTATCTATCTTTTAGAACAATAACTGGTCCTTAGTGGGTCGTGAGTTTGCACAGTGCATTTCATTTATTTTTTTATATGCTTACTGTGCTTTGGTTTAATGTTATTATGAGTCTGCTACTCAAAACCCCAAGAAATAGAAAAAGAAATATGCAATAGGAAAGGAATGTATTCGAATGTCTGTCACACAAATACACTGCTGTACATATCTCACCTTGCAGCAAGCAATTTTCAGTCATGACAACATTTGATTGTATATCAAACCAGTGCATTCAATATTTTTTTGAAGCATATCTCTTTGTCATGCTCATATAAATGTGTCTGTATCTATTCCTCAGTTTTCATCACTAGATTTGAAAATATTTTCTGTTTTAAAATCAGTGAATACTACTTCTATTTCTTTGTCCTTTGAGTTCAAAATGGCTAGAAAGAAAATATCATGACATTGAAATGAAATTGGAGCTTACTCCTGTAGGTTAGCAGTTGAAATGCTTTTGATTTGCATTTTTGAAAAACAAAACATACAAAAAAAACCACTAACAAGCAAATTTTTATGCTAAAAAGTTAAAAAGATGGAGAAGAGATTTTGTTGCATCAGTAATTGTAAATATTCTTCATTTTGGTAGGTGAATTCAGATACCAGCAATAAGTACTATGGGGAAACCGGGACCTAATTAAAGACCTCACTGTGTTGAATGCATTAGGTTTTTCCTGAATTTTAGTCTATACAGTTTTAATTGTCTGCACAAAAGCTGTGTCATATTAAGCTTATGTATCTGTTTTCAGTGTCATATTCCTGTCAGATATGGTTGGAGAGTTTTGGTATGCACTGAAGTTGATTGTAGAGAAACCATTGCCCACTAGTCTACCTGAAATAGAATGTGAACTTGGAAAGTAAGTATGTAGTTCACAGTGCTGAACTTGGTCACTGGTTTGAAGTAACATGGAAAACATATGAAGAGTTTATATAAAAAAGTCACAATAGAACTGTATATGTACTATAGTAATTCAGAGGTAATTTTCATAGATATATCTGTAGATAGGTGAAATTCTCCTTGCAGAAAAACAATTGAAATGGAATTGTAGTCTATATGTAGCCTTCCTCTGAAGTCTTTATATAGAAATCACTCTAAAGATACTGCAGAATGTAATAATAAAGATCCATAATACAGAGTTCTGTAGTTTTGTTTTATTTTCTGTTTCCTTCCTCTTTCTGAACTAGGAGTGTATCTGACAGTCCTGCTTTACAAATGCTTGTGTATCAGTTATCAATTTCTTTTAGCCTCTCAAGAAATGGCAAATATAACTTCTGTCCTGCAAATCCTGGGGGTAGACATGGTTGGAACACTGCAAGTATTAAGAAAATGAGCTACTTAGAGCAGACAGATAAATGAATCCAGTTCTTGTCTTCCTTCAGCAAAATTTCATCTTGCATTTCAATAGCATAACTTTCAGTTCTGGCTTTCAAGGCATAAAACAAAACTTTTAGCGTAGGTCTTTCAAGAATTCCAGAATTTCAGTAGTGTTTGTCCACCTATTACCTCTGCTTAGTAGTGGGTTCCATGGACACACTGCTCTACTGAATCCTAAATTCCACTTACTTCTGTATATCTTATCTTTTACTGGATGTATAAGTAATATACATTACAGACTGAGCAAAAACATATTGTTAGAGAGTACAACATGAAATTTTATGTGATTAAATTTTGGTGAGTGAATATATTCTGTTGTTCATATATGATGCACAGACCAGAGTTACCTGGCAATGCTTTAAAATTCTAGGCTGCTGGAGTAAAAAATATAAATTTTATCAACTATGTAGGCTGTGAACTTTAAAATTTTCATTCAGACTATCTGGCATTCATTATTTTCTCCAGCATGTGCTGCCTGTGAACCACATGCACAAGTGGTCTGGCTGCAAATAAAAAGTATTTTGGAAAGGGTTAACTACATTAACTACAACACTTGCCAGTCAAAACTATCATCCCAGATACATTGAATTCCATGTTTTATTTTTTCAAATGAGGTTTCTTTTCACTTTACAAGTGGATGCATGTTGTAATTCCTATGCATAATAATCAACATCTGCCCTGGGCTGATAATGGTGGAAGAACAAAATAGAACCATTTAGCTTAAATATTAGCAACAGCAGCAGCAGCAATAACATGTAACAAGAAATTAACAGTAGTCTCTTTCTCATGTTTTCAGATCTATATTGTAAAACAGTATAAAAAACTGATAAACTTTTTCCATTTCTGTTTGTGTTATCTGCCATATTCTTGGTTTCATAAAGTCTCCCACTTTTTGTTCAGTTATTTCCTTCAACACTGTCTTTTTTCCAGAAATTCTTTTCTATTGTGGCATCAGTATAATGTCATCTTCCTGAAGTGCAAAATTTTGGAGAATAACAATCGATGATGGCATTGAGGTTACAGTTAAATTACTGAGAATTGCTCTACCTGCTGAAAAGATGAGATAGTCCAAGTAAATTGGCTGCATTAATGTATGCTGAATATGTAAAGGCAATGCAGGTAGACACTTATGTGCTTTTTGTTAAAGAAAGATATCAATTTGTTTTGTTTTGAATGGGTGTACTTCTTTGCAATGTTCCCAGAGACATGGACTATAAATGTCATAAAGCGTTCAAAGCATTTCTAGGTGGTGAAGCTTTGTAGTTCTTTAAGAGACTAGTTTCAACACTACCACATTTTCATATGTGGTATCCTTCTAAGAATAATGTTTTTCACAATGTGCTCGCTGCATTCTTTTTGCTATAAATCTGAAAAATTAAAGAATTTGTGTCCTTGAAACAACACTTGGAACTAGATTAGGAGCCAAATACCCATTGATACATTTAGAATAATTTTCTAACCGATTCTTGAAAGATAAAAGAACAAATTCTAACAAGGGGTCTGTTAATCCTTCTTCAGATACCCTAACATTCTGGGTTTATCACATTCAGGTCTGCTTTTTGTTTCTGTCAATGTAGATGTAACACATCCTTTAGCATATGCCTCTAGGCAAGGAAACCTTCTCCTTGATATTCTCCATTTATCCATCCTGCTATGGGTTCCACAGTGGAGTCATTGAAGATGAGTCAGCCAAGTGATGTCCACAGTGGTCTTGAATTTGCTGTCATATTCAACAACTGTTTCTCACATAAACATAGTAGTTAATCTGTGTGGGGTGGCCAAGATTATTGGTGGATTTTGATCACTTGAAGAACCTCTAACAGTCAAATTGTTGCTTACTGAAATTTCAGATATAGTTTTCCCTTTGACAAAGCATTATGTATGAAAGAGACGATACAAAAAAATGAAGGCTAAAGATGGAATGTGAAAAATGGGAGTTATCAAGTGAATCTGAAGTTCTTGTGTGAAAGTCTCCTGGTATTTCTCTACTCTCTGCTGTTGAGAGCTCAGTGATACAATGCTTTGACAGTGTTCATCAAAAACAAATCTACCACTTAGCTGCTGGGGATTTATATCACTGCATAGGTTGGAAAGAGCCCATCTGCACACAGGTTTTGGGGCCTGCACTTACATTTGTAAAGCTTGACTGAAATACCTTCTCTTCTGACTGTTGCTTTTTATATTTTCTTTTTCCTTTCTGATTTAGCTACGATTAACTGACTAGTCTTTTTCCAGAGGATAATTATGTGGAACAATCCAGCAATTGACTTGCCACAGCTTTGACTAGAGAGAATATTCATTAGATAGATAAATTACAGCAAAATTAGTATATGTATCTCATTTTTCAAACTTTTCTTATTTACTGTTTTCACTGATTCACCTTGAATCTCTTTTCTGCATCCCTTAGTGTTATAACAAGTATGTGATTTATGGTCATATATCTTTGTTAAAGGCAAACAATATAATATTTTGATCAGAAGAGAGGAATTTGAGGGAGTCTTATGAATTCTTTTGAAAATTGTGCTCCCTGCTGAAGATATCTTGTGTTTGTTTATTCTTTAATAAGAAAATAAAGGACAGTCTTTAAAATGGAATGCCAACTGATTTAAAGAATAACATTTAGGCAATCAGCATACTCCAATCTTTGTCCTGTGACAACCACAATAGTCATTAAAATACATAATCTACAGGTGCAACATAATGATTTACCATTATGTTATAATGAACAATGCAACAATTGTACAAAATGAAACAGATTTTGAGTCCATGAAGAGGAAGAAAGAGGAGGGGAAGCAGGCAGAACCTCCATTGAAATGGCTGGTGTGGAACACTAAGTTTGTTCTGGGATCTCAAGGTTACAAGATGATCAAGAAGAATGGTTGCCTAGTGGCACTAAATCAAAAGCTATTGGCAGCACCACTTAATTACAAGCTTTTCCCACAAACCACAGCTTAGACAAAAAGGAGTTACAGATATCATTTATCTGATTATCTTTATACCTTTATTACATTTATCTTTAATTTCTGTCCAGTACTTTTTCTGAGGCAGACTATGAGTCCATGGATAGACTACAGAATAATAAGACATACTTAAAATTATTTTACTATTTGGAACCAAAATTTTTTGTTGACCTTGGCACTCTGAATTATCTATTTGACTAAAATGTTTTATTTCAAAGTTAAATCTACAGAAAGTAAGGAAAGAGAGGTGAAGCATAAATTTGCAAATTGGAGCCTAGGAATAAATTTAAAGCTGTGGTATCAGAGACACTAGGAGTCATTTTCACATCCTCCTATCTAAAAATTGGGCATCAAGTTTAAGGCATTAAGCCTAGGCTTCTCCTGGAGACAGTGAAAAGTGATTTTCCTTCCCTGTAGATACTAGTCATCTACATTAGGACCAATTTTCCCTGAAAATGTTTTTCTCCTTGTTGAATATTGAGGGATCTAGACAGTCCTTTTAACCAACTAACTTAAACTACTTGGCATCTGAACTATAGTAAGACAAATTCTGCCCTTACAAGTGACCCAAGTATTCAAATGATTATTGTTACCAGATTATATTGTTATTAATAATATTAACTGATGCTATTAAATATATGTCCATACTGATGCAATAGGACATAATTCTTATTTTTAAAAGTACTCATTTTTCAAGAAATAAAAGAAGTGGTTAATAATAAAATGTAATGGAAGAAGCTTAGTAATTAATAGTCATTGCATATATGTATTTTTTCCAGATGGGCTCGTCTATACATACCTCTCTTTAATCCTACACATGAAACTCTGGAACTAGAAATTGTTAACAGCAATCCTATCAATTTTTCAACTGAGACTTATCCAAAACACTCTGTAAGTAAAATTTCTGTGCTTTCACAAAAGTGATGAAAGAGAACCTTGTTTTCAAAATATATTGAATTATGTATTGCGCTGTGGGTTCAGAAAACACAACATTGTCTCAAGGATTAGAGGCATTATAAGTATGTATTTTAGAGATTTCATAGCTTAAGGACAAAAACAATTAGACTTGAAAAAAACAGAAGCTGAAGTATAGATATTTTTCCTCTGGATTGCTTTGTGGAATGATTTTGAGGAGGACTGCAGTGTTGATTGCAAAGAATATTCAGGAGATATTAGAAGGAGAAGTTGTAAACAAACCAGCTGTATTAGAAGCTTCTTAAGGTTCTAAGAATCAACAGGTAAATATTTAGGCAAGCAGATAATGTTAGAATATAAGAATATTGCATAGTCACAGCAGTTATAGCGAACTTGCAGGGCCTATGAATAAGAATTTGATCAGTTTAGCCACAAAGAAGCTTCAAGCAAACACCTGGAACAATTTTATTTTCGAAACTTACATTTACCCTGTGACTGATTTCTGCTGGGAGTAATCTTCATCCTGTTACTATCATGTACACTGCTTTCCCCTTCCATCCTGCTGCTTAGCGTTTCTTTCCTTTCAAGGGCTGAGAGTTGTATAGATGGACTCATTGAGATTGGCTAGATTTCTAGAAATTCAGGATTCTGAAAAATATTTGTTATTCACTGTTGGTTGCTAGTTAATAGTACAGACCCTATAAAGAATTCTTTATATGTTATTAACAATTAAAGCTATTAAATATGTGTCCCTTTTAAGATGGGGAGATGAGAAAAGGGAGGACCGATGCATGGAAACTCCGGTGCAAGGGGTTAGGAGGACCTTTTATTAGGATGTGAATATAGAACCTTTAACATGAAACAAGAAAATGAAGAAACCTATTGCAGACTGGAAAGAAATGGCAATTGCACATTTTCTAGACACGAGGAAGATAGTACAGGGAAGACATACACCAGAGCTGTTTTATTTGTGCAAACAGGTATAAGGGTCAAAGGGAGAGGAGAGAAATTTTGTAATGAGATCCTAAAATAAAGCTGAGAAGTAGAAAATTGATTATATGGGGAAAATAGAGGAATGTTATAAAGTCATAATATGTGCATTTTTGGCTTTCAGAAACTAAACAGCTTTTAGCCTCAAATATAGCAGTACAAGATGAACTGTTCTTAAAAGGGATTCTAAAGATAACAGCTAAAGGAGATCGCATTATTTACTGAACTGCTCTATATTTTGCATATATAGATTTACATAAAATTAAGTATAAAAAAAGTATAAAACATCAAGTGTTTATTTTAGTCTGTCTTTTATGTCATGCATATTAGCACATCTTCATACATTACATTAAAATTTGACAAATGCAATTACTAATTATTTCATCAATTGGTATTTGAATAAGAGCTAAAAACCATAATGGATGCAAACTATATTAATCATCTAGGAGTATTATACATGTTATGCTTAGGTCATTGGCACAGAAGTGGATTAGATTTAATTATAGTGACTTTTGGCTCCTGCAGATTTCATCTTACCTTGTCCAGGAAATTAAAAAAAACCACACAACTTCTCATTTCAGCTTTCCTAATTTATCACCAGAGAATCACATATCACCAATAACTAAATTACTTTGCTTAGGAAAAGACACATTCAACACTAAATGCAGCAATTGTCCTTTTTTTTTTTTTTTTTTTTTCCTTCTTAATAGAATATTCAGTCCTGTATATCATTTACACATTGAATTCTGAAATGTTCTTTGTGAATTACAGTAATTCTTCCTGCTAAAGGATAGCTTTGGTGAATTTGCTATAAGGAACTACCTAATATTTATTTCATGCATCTGTCCCTTTTCGAACTTATTTCTTCCATTGCAGACCCATGTTTGGAGAGGTAATGTGATTTCCTTCACAGATTTTATGACAAAAGCAGGGGGTGGTGTTTAAATACCTGCTGCTTCTACTGGATATGTTGCATCCTAGGATTATTCTCTTCATACAGCACTACGTCCAACTACATATTCAAAATCAGCAATTTTAATATTTCATGTAATTATTCATATTTGGTTTTATGTCATCTAAGATGTAGATCTGGTGAAGACAGGCTGTCAGCCAGAAAATGTCTCAAATGGATTTAATGAATTACCTAATTAAGTTTGATAAACCAGATTCAACAGAGATATCAGAGAAAATGTTATCTTTTCTAGAGATGAATTGCCTGAAATGCTAACCAAAATTTTGAATAATATTTCAGAATTTAAAAAAATTTGAATATCATATTTATTGTACTTCCACGTGTGGAAATTTGTTTCAGTTTGCAATAGAAGGCATTACTGAAATACCACAAGGAATTGTTTTCTATAGATTTGATAGAACTTTGAATACTGACATCATTAATAATAGGCTTTCGTGAGGTCCAGTTAAATTACGCTCAAGTATTCCTGAACTTCTGGGTGCTTAATGAAGTCTAAATGAAATTTGAAGGCTTTAAGTCTCTTGTCAGCTTCATGTAAATTAGAAGCAGCTCCATTAACTGCTATGTAAACTGATGAAAATGAGAAAAGTATACATATCCTGTTAGCAGCTTTGCAATTGTAGCCTAAAACAGCTTTAAATGGAATATACCATCTTGGCTTTCCTTCAAGAATTTGATAAAAGTTTTCAAGGATTTTAATATCTTTTTGCAATGCCTAATTTTATTTTCCCTTCTTGTGAACCTTACGCTATATGGGTTAACTTAGCATCTTTATAAATGCTGCCAAATTCTCTAAAAGTTGGAACAGAAGTGAACTCTCATAAATTCGCTGCAAAATTCCATTTTATTTTTCATTAGCATATTGGGCATTATGAGTTTCTGGGAGAACAGTTATTGGGATGCTGAGTTTTGTGTTTCTTTCCTACCCACAGCCTGCTTTATCTTTAATAGAGAAGGATTCATGTTCAACATTTAACAGCAAAAAATTCCCAATCACCAGTAATGCTATGTTCCCAGACTTTCTTCTTTACCATCTATCTAAATACATGGACAGATTTCATATGTACGTGTACTGTATTTATACACACATATATTTATGATGTAACTTAAATGTACAAAAAAACTCTTTCAAATGGGATTACCTATATTGCCAAAAAGAAACATGTTTTCACTGTTAGGTCTTCAACTTGCTCTTCTGCTGGCTTATAAGTAGCCTAAACATTTTTCATGAAGCTGTCTTCCTTCCTGATTGGCTATGAAACACAATTTTTGTTCAGGAAAAAAAATAACTTAATAAAGAAGGGCTGGCAGTGATGAGTGCAGTCTCAAAGTCTCTGTGTGCAAGCTTTATTAGTTTGTTAATGACTGACAATATTGTTTTGTATGAAGTAGAGAAGAAACTTCTGAATTTAATGAAAAATTTCCATCGTTTGTTGGATTTATAACAGGAACAATGCATGTATAGTTGCTCAGTCTTCAGACTCAGTTTCTGTGTTTGAATAGCTGAAATAGATGAAATAGCTGAAATCTTATGAAGAGCAATAATACCGTTCCCTTTTCACATTAGTGTCTTGAAGGACACTTGTTTATATTAACAAAATGAAAGGCAAGGGATGGGTTAACTTCAGCATATTTTATTGAATGACTGTGGCAAAATGTGCCCTTCTTTAAACATGTTGTTAGCATTATTTCTCAATTCTAGTTTTTAAAACAATTTATTCTTTGGTTTTCAATAGAAAGTAAAGTCTTTTTTTTTTACCCCAGTTCTTTATTTCAAAAGCAATTACTTTCTGGATTCTTAGAAAGTCATAATGTGTGATATAAAAAGCTTTTTTAAAAATCTTTTCTTCTTTCAGAGCAGGCAATCTGCTTTATTATCATAATTCTATGTTGATTATTTAGATTTATTGTGGCAGTGCATTTTCTGTGTAATAATATGTCAAGTAATGCTTATTGAAAGTGGAATTCCAGTCTGTTTTCATCTCTATGGGAGAGTTATTATTCCAAAAAATGTAGATTCTCAGTGACATTAATAAAAAATATTAAATTGTAATTTTACTTTAATCATGTATTCTTATGCTGTGTCAACCTGTCTTCTTTACCTTGCTTTTCATTTTGTTCAAAAGTATTTGGGAGGGGGTAATCATTTCTCCATTTGTAAGTCTTCATTTGATAAATGGGGCTGGCTGGTTTGGACAAAGTAGGCAGCAACTTCATTGCAAATGGAAGTAAAAATCTCAAAAAAAGGTCTCAATACTGAGCGTGCTCAGGAACTTACTGAGAAATGAGCTGTTCAGGCTTCTTCTACATGATGAACAGCTAAATGAACTCTGGGCAGTGGGGCAGATGGGGATGGAGGTGGTTTGTGGGAGGTGACTCTCCCTCAGGTCTGTTATTCTGGGTAATACAGAAGCCTTGCAGAAGTGACAAACGTGGGACGGTGGCGGTTGACTGCTGGTGGCAAATGTGCTTTCAAGATATCACCCACCTACAGGACGTATGAAATTGTTACATGTGGGTGGCACCGCAGTATGGTGCTGCCCTTATAGGAGGTGGAGCTGAGTGGGAGTGGGCCCAGAGCAGTAAGCCGCATGCTCTGTGTGCGAGACCCACATATTTACTCTTCCAGAAGTGTTTTTTGTCATGCAGTACAAACTGTAAAATTAAATTGGTAAGGCTTTAAAAAAGTACAATACCACCCACTAATAGACAAGACAGTTAATGTCTTCAAACCAATAAACTGTTATGGCAATATTCTGATAAATTATTTTAAAACTTATTCCCCAAAAGAAAAAAATAACATTTCAAATTTTGTGCATGAGTTGACTACATATGAACTCTGTCCTCTCTTCTGCTCAACCTAGCTCCCTTGGCCGTCAGTGCGACTATCCATTGTTCAAGATAGAACATCATGCCAGTCTGTAAATGTGTGGGTACCCTATAGACATACCCAGAAGATGACTGTCAGGACCAGGATGTCTGTGGCCCCTGCCCAGGTCCAGCTCTGAGATGGCAGCTAAAGCCATGGGACCGCAAGGAAAAGCAACATATGCCTCATCAGGGGCCTCTGTCTTGGGCTGGGAGTGGACACTTCCGACTCTGCTGCACCCTCTGGGTCTTCCACTTTGACCTCAGTGCTGTGGCCATGGCCAGTAGTCCCGGTGCTGCAGTGGGGCTCCATCCCTGACCCTGCCATGGCGCTGCTTGCTGTTTCCGGGTGGTGGTAGGACAGGGCTACTGGTGGAGGTACCTGCCTTGCTGTGCCATAAGCTCAAGCCTTCCTCAGAGCACAGGCAGTCGAACTCCTGCGGTGGGAAGAGGTTGCAGGGCTTGTTAGTGCAGTCAGGCATCTTGCAACGATTAAATGCAGTAAACAGAAATTAACTTTTTAATAACTCCTATTCACTGTCTGCCAGTGTCCCATGCTTCCAGGGCTGACATTTCCTTTACAAATGGGCTTGTCAGTGCCAGCTGTCGTAGGGTATTGTCTTGACCTTTATTAGTTGTAAATTATATTCATTTTATAAAATACAGCTTGAATGTCCATAATTCCAATCAATAACTTTTTTATATCTTCTTACATGCATACATTATTTAAACATGTATGATATTAAAAGCCTGGTAATTTTTTTTAATTAAAAAAGTAGACATGGTAATTGTGTATTCAATGGTGCTAGCTGATCATTCTCCCAATGCATTGGCATGTTTATTATTCATCATTCTATTCTTTCACTGCTTATCTAGTTCTTAAAAAAAATTTATGACCCCATTGTAGTCAGCTACTTTGCTTTTCCCTACGCAATTGAGACCAAAGTAGTATGTTTCAGACTAAGAGAAAACTAGCAACATCTTTTACAATATTAGTTTAGGTAAAGGTAAGTGGAAAAGAGACAAAGGATTAATTTATTAAAACCTACCATGTATTTCCCTTATAAGCCAGTTCATGTCTTTGGAGGTCAATGTGATAACCTTTTCATGTCATCAATATGATCAAACACCTAAGTCATGTTTGAATGGTATTTGTGAGAGCTGCTGTCCATGTCCTTGGAGAGATCTGTAACAGCAGCTCTGTAGTTTCTGGGGAATGAACGTGCAGTGACTGCCACTAGGATTGTTTACTGCAATTACAATTACTTGCTGCCTTAGCAGCCTGTGCTTGCTGAGAGGAGAGAATGCATCTGGTGGAACACATTAATCACATAAACATTAACACTGTCGATACAAAGCACAAAACAGAAACAGACTCAAAAAAATTGATTATTTTCCCCCCTCTCTTTCCTTTGCTTCTTTCTTGTATTTGTACAGGTGATTGTCACTCCTCATTCCACCACTGAAGTGCCCGTGCAATTCTGTCCAACTGCCCTTGGAAGAGGCAATCACAAAGCATCAATAACCTTCAAATGCTCACAGGTATGATATTATGTTTGCTGCCCACAACTTGGAATTCAGATTAGGTAACATTTTTAATAGTCACGTAAGTAAGGGTTTCGGTCTGTAGGTCAAGTTGAAATTTAATGGCTGGCTGGCTGGATAATGAAAGAGCAAATGCGAAGATGTTCAATAGTTACGATTTTTTTTTTAACCTTAGTTTTACACATAAATTATTCTATTTACAGTATTAAAATGTGGCATAATAGCCTAGGAGCTAGAATAAGTAATGAATAGTTCTAGCTTTCTTGTAATTCTGCTCTTTTTAACACCAGAAGACCAGTACTTCTTAGCATTTTCACCACTGAAATTAAATTTCTTGATGGTTTTCCCAACCCCAAACAAAATTAAATTGTTTTATTTTTTTATCTGATCTGAATTTGGAAGGTTACACACACTTGAAAAAGTGAATTCTTCCTTTCGGTTTGTTTGAAAATGGTTTTTACTTTGAACATCTTAGAATTGTTGACATTTTTTTCTCTGCGAATTTTACAAATTTTAAATGAGAAGCAAGTAAATAAAGAAACATGAGTTGTCAAGATGACATGCTAGCTGATTAAAAGTTACAACTGGAAACAAAAACTGATAAAATTATCTAAGTGATAATATTTCATCACATGAGCTGTGGTTGAATGAAGCATTTGTTTTCTGTGCGATTTCCTCTCTGTATTCTTTTTGGACTTTCAAATATCCTAATAGACTGCTGGCCCATGAAATTCTCCAGTTAAGTCCTACCAGGAGTTTTCAGTAGCATTTTAAGTAATACTGCAAATGCAAATATTCTATTATATAAAGAAAACATATAGTGAAGGAAGTGATGTGGCAATTTTTTTCCTGATAAAGTGTATTGAATAGACAGGTTATTTGTAGGTGTTGTTAGCACGGTATTTATTTTCAGGATCTTTCTTCTTAAATATTTATTAAGGATAAAACCAAGGAGACAGCAATTCTCATATGAAAAGTATATATACAAGGCCAGGTCAAGAGGACTGAATGTCCTAATGGTACACAGGAATCTTATTTGTACTTTAAAAAATAAAATAAATGAATTCTTCACCAAATACAGAAGCAATAAAACAGTATAACAATTCATGTAAAATTTTCAGGAACAAATTGAGCCCTGCCAGCTGAATCTTGTCATCCAGTGCATCTCCTTTCAAGTAATGGCAAATCTCCAGGTTTTTATCTGTGGCGAACTTTAGTCACTATCCCATCCTTCTATCTGCTTTTTCCAGACCCCTTCAACCATTTCATATATTGGTATAACCTTTGTAATTTCTCAGTGCTCCTTTTATGCCTGAATCTTTTGAATTTTGTATACTTTCATTCATTTTCACTGCTGCAATCCTTACTAAATTAATCCCAGACTATTTTAGTTTGCTGATTGTTATAGCTGGAAGTGTATATTTGCACACGTAAAACTGCCCGTTTTAATGAAGACTTGAAGAATATTTCTCATCAGTGATGGATGCCTCAAACAACTTTTAATGTACACCGCTCCCGATATTGATTTCCCTGCCTTGATTTCTCTGATTATATATATCTGAATGAACACTTAAGGCATCTGACAGCTGAATAACTGACTAATCAAAATTCAGTTAATGGCAGTACTTACAGGATACGCCTTAACTATTTCTGACTGTGCTTCTTTGCTGAGCAGAGAGAAACTGCTTTGTGCTATTACCTGCTTCATTTGTTTCTGGTTTGAAACTGTATGAAGAGCTCTTCACAAACTGAATCTGAGTTTAGTTCCAATCATTGTGAAAGTCTGAAACTAAGTTAGTTGAGACAGCACAACTGAAAGGTCAGCCTGAACATAAACCACACCCATAGTTCTAACATATCCGTATTATCCTATTCTTTTACCACGTTGCTAGCATCCAGGTGTAATGTGAAGCATCTAACACTAATAAGTAATATTAGAGAGAAACTGAGCCAAATATTAGATCCTATCTTCTATTACTTGCCTTAGGATTCTCTTTTCTTCTAATGTTTTTTCCTATTGATTTCTTGCACTGAGCATATGTGATCTTGAGCTCCATCACAAGGTGGGTGTCACGGAAGCGTAAGACCAACTATAGATGTTCCAAAAAGCAGTTTTAATGGTGTCACAAAGTAGAATGGTAACATTTAACAGAGATCTTATATTACAAACACTTCAGCAGACATAACTTTTACTGGTTCAAGATGTCAGTTGGGAACTAATGCTACATGGTATATACCAAATCTAAGCGTAGAATAATGATTCAAAATGCGTTCACCTAAAAGGTGAAGACAATCACCAGGGAAGTTACTTTGGGTGATGTCTCGACCCAAAGGGAGGGCTTCCGATCACAGACCCGCTGCTCTGAGGAGAACCACTCCAAGGGGGTCTCTGGTGGGGCCCCCATTTTATAGCCTGGTTGGATCTGAACTGTGGTCATCTACTGGTCATGGTCATGTAGCTTTCATAGGTCAAGAAGTCTTCTAGGTAGGCTCATTGACTAGAGGTGGTCTCTAGGGCTTGATTATCTGGGGTATGTGGCTGGGGTTTGTTTGCACAGGTGACCAGTACATCATGAGCTTCCTGCCAAATGAACCACCATGCCCCTGTACCACACCGTTAAACCCAAGGCAGTAGGAGGGGGGGAATGATCCTTCCACAGTGGGTCAGAGAGGAACAGTAACTGCAGGTGAGGCAAGACAAGCCTGTCCTATAATCTGTATAATTTTTTGGTTGTCTTGTTTTATCTTCCAGACTGACTGCTAATTTTTTTTGTCTCCTTCTTTAGCTACTCAATTTGACAAAGTTTCAGTGTGTTGTTTTAAAGGTGCTCAGCACTTGAAGCAATGGGGTTCAAAGTGGCTCTGCTTGTTAAGCACAAAAAAAATCAGTGAAAGCTACAGTCTTTACGGTTTGTAGACCATGACCCTGAGCCCTCAAGCAATGAAGCTCAAACTTGATCTTTACAGCTCACCTACACAAAATTGGAACATGTGCACCCTTTCCACCCCTGCACTGTACCTTAATGTAAAATTACTTGCTATGAACGAGGTTGTTCACATGAATTTACAGTTGGCCTGGGAAGCATTGTTAGACTAATATTTCCTCATAACTTATGTATTAATAGTTTTGTAAAAAAATGTCTTTTGTTACTGTGTTTGAAAGCAAGCACAAAGTATCAATAGCAAGCCAGCACAGACCACTAATAGCTTGACACATCCAGCTTTCTGAAAACATGGGCTTCTGGCATGCTCATGCCTGTGTTTCAGTCCTTCAAAATAAGCCTGCAAAGTGTGCTTAGCCTTTTTGTTTACATTTAACTTCTTGAGGCTGATGTGGTAATAAGCCTCAGATTTTAGTCTGTATTGTTATTATTTAAAGGCAGGAACATGAATGTACAAATTAAACATTTTCCTTGAAATAATGGTAGTATCTTTATAATTACCATTCACATTTGCTGCTCATTCACCTTTAAATGTTCCATAAAGAGTAGCATTATTAACTTCACTCTTTATAACCTTACAATAGTAAATGTGGGGCAGGCAACTCTTTACTGTCATGCTGATAAAAAATGATCAAAATTAACATGTCAATTTAATTCTATTTTCCTTTTTTCTGCTCAGTGGTGATACTCTATATTGACAAATTATTTTCAATATTCTTGATTCTATTGTGTATAGTGGTTAATATTCTCTATTAACCAGTTCGAGAAGGACAGGGAATTGCTGGAGAGGGTACAGCAAAGGGCTACAAAGATGATTAGGGGACTAGAACATCTCTCTTATAAGGAAGGGCTGAGGGACTTGGGTCTTTTTAGTGTGGATAAGAGAAGACTGAGGGGGAATCTGATCCATGGGTGGGTGTCAGGAGGATGGGGCCAGTCTTTTTTCAGTGGTGCCCTATGACAGGACAAGAAGTAACAGGCACAAACTTGAACATAGAATGTTCCATCTAAACACAAGGAGGAACTTAGTTACTTTGAGGGTGACAGAGCACTGGAACAGGCTGCCCAGAGAGGTGGTGGAGTGTCTCTGGAGACATTTAAAATCCACCTGGACATGTTCCTGTGCAACCTGCTCTACATAGACCTGCTCTAGCAGGCAGGTAGGACTAGATGATCTCCAGAGGTCCCTTCCAACCCCATATCATTCTGTGATTCTGTGATCTTTGGAATAACATTTTTAGCTTTTTGTATCATTCTACTGCTGTCCTGTCAAAGAATGATTTTCCTTCTTCCTTTGTCTTCTGAAGAGAAGTTCTCACTTCATTTGCTTTCAGGTTCTAATATATTATGTGCTTTGAATTTGCCCTTTTGCAACCACCTACATCTTTCCATTCACTACACTGGAAGCTCTGAGTAGCTATATGGAAGTTAAATACTCTGTGCTTAGAGTAGCACAGGATTTCAATGCGAAGAGGAGATGTGAACATTTCCCAGACTGGAACTGTTGATTTTCAGATATCAATACTTAGAGTAATATAACAGCTTGAGAGAAGAAGAAAGAAAGAATTAAACAGCAGTTCACTTATAGCAGAAAAGACACATAGAACACTAGAAGAAAGAAGTAGGCAAAATGCCTTAGAATGTACAGATCTGATTCATCAAATAATAAATAATGACTCATGTTTTGTCTACAGCTTAAAGAGTGGATATTTTACCTTTCGGGGTCTGGTCTTCCTCCTCAGCTGATGGAACCAACCAGCATAAGTGCACGTATTGGCCAGCGTTCTGCTGTCATCATATCCTTCAAAAATCCAACTTCTGAAAACGTGGTGGTAGATGTCATGCTGACAGGTACAGGGTTTGGATTTTTTTGGGGTGGAGGGAGAAACTTAAGCTCGTTGGGTTGCATTAATAGTGTGATTGGGATGAGATTACATTTGCCTCATTCCATTTCCTGGCAACAGAGATGCTGTGTATCATTCACATCTACCCTGAAAAGCTCTGTGGAATGTGCTGTGGGAGCTGAGAAATAATGCAACTGTTCATGTCTTAAGTAGACCTCTTAAGTCGTACAGCCTCATGTATACATGCAGCTGGTTGTTGGCTATGGACTGCGCTATAGCGTGCAGGCAATGGCAGACTCCTGGGGTGTGTTTTGGGAGCTGAATGTCTGAGCTGAATAGCTCATGTTTTGGTTTTGTTCCTCGGTTATTTTCCAAAATATTTTATGATATTTTTTCTGATTCTAGATAACTAACGGATCTAGTAAGGGCAAAACATTTGAACTTTTTTTCTGATTGACCTTCCAGATAAGTATGTTTCAGCAATGTTTTCAATATTCAATTCAATATTCAATATTTTCAAGATTCAGAATTATCCAAGACTGCCAAGACACTGTCCATACTGAGATTTCACAAATGCACTAGAACTCATGTTTGAAGTCCCAAATTCTCATTGATGACTGGAATTTATTCAGTGAAAGAGTGAATTTCACTCTTGAGTCAAGCAAAGAACTTTAGGAGGTTCTCTGAATCTTCACCTAGTCCAACATAACATGTAGCATCAGAAACAGGTGCCAAAGCATTTCCTGGCATCCATGTATAACAAAAACTGAAGATAAACCTTCCAATGGCTTCTGACAGAGACCTCCTGGATGGGGAAATGTAAGAGAATAGCGAAATCAAACCTCTACAAAGGTAAGTTTTAAGTGAGGTTTTCACACTCATGCTATGGTTTGGGGTTTGTGGTACACAGAATAAGTGAAGAAACGTGATTTTTGAAAAATAGAGATTTTTTTTTTATTTGTTGTATTGAACTCATGCTTTTTAATTACACCTTCTGAGATATGAATTAGAAATACATCTTAGGCTGCATATACAGTTAATATATGGGAGATTTTGGAGGTTCTTTTACTTAAATGGTGACTGGTAAGAGCATTTTAGTCTCATGACTGAATGCTCTATATTTTTGTTGGCCAAGTTTTTTTGGCAGACTTTAGTGCAGTTTCCCATGTTTAACTACTAAAATATTTTCATTCACGACTGTCATGAAACAGAGTTCCATTCGGAAACGATCAGACCACTTCTGAGTTTCTGTTGGTGTTCTCTTCTGGACAACAGTGAAGGAAGTGACAGCGTGAAGCCGCTGTTTACAGGCTAAGTAGATCATAGCCAGAATCTCAGGGACTGTGCCAGAGTTTATCTGCTAAGCAGGGGACCTGGCAAAGAGGGGAACAGAGTCATGTCCAGCTTCCTAATCATCTGGCATCTAGGCACCCTAAAGTGCCAAGGAGCATTGCAGACCGGGTCTGCACACAGTAACAGGGCAGTTATTGCAGCAGTTGGCACTCAGTGCGCATACGGAAGTCTCGAAAGTGCTGCTTATAGTAAAACCGGATGAGTAAATGTTGACAACACACCACGGGAGCTGCTCTCAGTCCTCAGATGGGGCTATCACTACCTCTGTAATCCAAATGGAAATCCTGAGGGTGGATCCTGCAACCCTGGTCTGAGGCAAGTCAGGAGTTCTTGAAGTTTCTCCCTGGCACTGCGCCTTGAACGTCAATGACCTCACCAGTTGGATGTGTGCTCTGGTAGCCTTCCTGCAGTGCTAGACGCAGGAGATTTATTGCATCAAGGTTAACGAACAAGAGGTTGACTGGATCTTTGCAGAGACCCTGCAGAAACAAGAGACAAACCCTTCAAGGCTGAGAAGTTTGGTATGCCCAAAGGAAGACAGAAGCATCAAGACGACAGAGTCCTAGCAATGGGGAAGGTTTCATTTCCATCTGCAACTGTTCCTTTAAAGAGTAGGTTCAGAGAAGAAGGGGAAAAATGTTCCTTTGAAGGGGAAGAGTCTGGGCTAAGCATCTCGTCTTCAGATTACAACCAGTACTATTAAACAGGAAGCAATGAGTGCTTGTGGTTGAAGTTTTCTTCCTCCGTGGGGGACAAAGGCTGCCAATTTCCATCACAACATATCATCTCAGGAAGTTTGCTGCTTTCCTAGAGTTCAAATGTGACATGCTGCAGGAAAGATTTCCAAAGCTTCTCTGACCTTGCAGTTACTGTACCTTGCTGTTCATTCCTATAGCAAATACATGGATCTAGACTCCCTGTACGGCCAAGGAAACATTGAACTAGAGGAGGAGACTGAAGGAGAAAAGAAGGTTCTGTGGGCATTCCTTCCTCAAGTATTTGTGAATACATTTGCACAGAGCTCTCGCAGTAAACAGGAAAAATAGCAATTCCAGGCCAGTTGCAAGGCTGCAATGTGATCACAGTAATGAGACAGTCAGTGACAGTGTCCACAATGGAGCATGGTTGTGGATGGGTGCAGGCTGTTTAGAAAGAATAGAAAAGACAAATTTGGTCCCTTGTAAAGCTTAGGTTGCCATGACCATGAGATGATTCTGCTTATTCAAGTCTCTGTACACTAAAGTACAGAAAGGTACTCGGAGCTGGATGAGTTTTGCAGCAAATTTATTGACAGCTCAGGATTGAATCATCTGATTACTGAGGAAGACTAAGAATTTCAGCAGAAGACCCACTTAGCAGTGCAGGTACCTTCTCATCCAAAAAGGAAGCATACGGTGCTGTGGATCCAGTGCAACATATGCAGGCTAAAGAAACACATCTTATATGTGACACTAAGAATTTATTAACAGACTAATCTAAGTCTTATCATAATAAAAAATTGCAAGATATTATAAGTCCAACTAAAATGATACTAGCTGTCAGGGAGCAGCAAGAACAGGCTGCTCCACAAAACTAAGTAAGACAGAAGCCAAAGGACATCAAGACTGGCAGACACCTTTCAAACAAGGGCTGCAATCCCATGGTATCTAGACAAGAAGAACATAGCAGGTCTGATGGCAGCAACCAATACCAGCCAATAGTCTAGTCACAGACAAGTCCAAATTGAGAAAATGAGTCCGTGATCAAGCCAGGAAATCAAGTAGGCTAAGCTTGGCAAGGTATGCGGCCAGAGACAGCATACCTAGGACATATACCTTGGGCAAGGACCAACAGCAGGAGCCTGAGTTTAAATGCAACTCAAGCCAGTGGGTGGAGGCCCCAGAAGCTACTCATTCACAAGTTAGCTGTTTTCACAGAATTCTGATATCAGATTATACAGCTGCACTCTATCAGGGCAGTTCATGAATACAGGTAGCTACAGCCTTGCGTGTGGAGGTTACAGAGAATTTCAGGGGAGGGTGCTTATTGGCTGGACAGATAAATTAACATACTTTACTGAATGCAGGGCCCTGATTACTAATACTTTTAGTCCAAATTATTCAATTAATACTAATTGCTGCTAACTGATGTACATAAATCTCATATTTTCCTGGTATTTCTTCACAGTAAATTATAAAAGATGGTCTTCAACATCCTATGTTCTTCACTGAGAAGAAAATGTTGATACAATGCCATTTTTTTCCTTCTCAGTCTTGGATCTGCTTGGTGTTATTTTTGTGTTTCCAAACGGATCTGTTGCTGCACTTGTTTTCTTACAGGTCCCCAGGTTTAGTTCCACAGTGACCCCTTCATTTTTTTAGATCTTTACCATGTATTGTATGATTTCTTTAGCGTAATACCACAAAATTATACATCACTAAACTGAAGCTGAGAAACAAATAAGGCAACAGTTGGTACTTGTGTGCTGTTACAGCTAAAATAGCTCAAGTCCAGACAAGGTGTGACAATTCCCTGATGCTTTGCACTGTTAATATAAAGCCCCGTGACCTGTTACTAGCAGTAGCAATAACGTACCCCCTGTACTACACCTAGATGAGGTGGAAGGGAGGTAACAAAAGGCAAATAAAAAAGTACCATAATCATACTTAGCATAAAAATCAGGAGGCCAAAGCCCATGAGGTGTGAAGATTAACAGGGAAACTATAGGCTCACAAGAAAAGGTTCTAAAGGTATGCTAGTTGCATAAGGAAGCTTAGGGAAAATGCATATAGGTCCATTGATGAGTGGGAGAGGGGGGAATCAACTAGTTACAGACAATGAAGAAAAGGCTGAAGTGCTCAATGCTTTTTATTTTGTTTTCTTGCCTTGGTCTTTGCAAGCAAAACTTGCTTCCAAGGCAGCATGTACTGACTTGGTTTGAAAGGGAGAAGGGCAGCTCATAGCGGAGCAACAGGCTGTGGACTTCTTAAGAGCACCTTGTTGCATTCAGATCCACAAGTCCAGATGAAATTCATGGAGTGATGAAAGAGTTGGCTAATTTGATTGTGAGGCTGTGGTTCTCTATGAAATGCACCCTCATCAGGAGATGTTTCTGTTGACTGGTACAAGGCTATGTTATTTTCTTTTTTAAAATAGAAGACTGAGGGAGTGGCAGGCTGATCAGCCTCACCTCAGACCCTGGTAAGATCATTGGACAAATCCTTTTGCAGTCTGTGTAGCCCATGTGTAGCACATCCTCTTGCAGTCCATTTCCAAGCACATGAAGGTCAAGAAGATAATCAGGAGCAGTCAAATGGATTTGTTAAGTGCAAATCATGATCGACTAATGTGATTGCCTTCTATATGGAAATGAGTGATTATGCAAATGAGGTAGGAGCAGTGGATGTAATATACCATGATTTAGTAAGACTTTTGTCACTGTGTCCCATAGCATTCTTGTTTGGAAGCTAAGGAACTGTAGGCTTGATGAACAGACTGATGAGTGAGTTGAAAACTTGGCTGAATTATTGGTCTCAAATGATAGTGATCAACATCTTGACAGTCAACTGCTGGCTGGTAATGAGTGTAGTACCTCAGAGGTCAGCACTGGGGCCCATATTATTCAAGAACTTTATTAACTACATGGATGATGACAGAGAGTGCAATGTAAATTAGAGGAAGCAGCTGACATGATAAACGATAGAGCTTCAGTCCAGAGGTACCTTGATAAATTGTTGGTATACCTCTTTCTTGAATTGTTTTTGTTCATCAACTCATTATTCCTGGAGCAGCTGAAGATACAGGAAATTTTTACATTGTTAGTGATGTAATTTTCCTTCTAAAACTGTAAACGTTTGTATTTTCCCCTTTCATTCTGACTACCCTTTGTGCTTATCTCAGACACTTACAGAAGCACTGTGAATTACTCGCTGTACAATGTATCCTATTTGATCAGGAAGTAACTGATTATATAGTCTCTTGAAGTGTAGGTGTGTATTATGTGTGTGGTATGAAGGTTCTCATTGCACCACATAGAGTGCAGCATGTTTTATTCTAGTGTAAAGTGCAAGCTGGTATTCTGATTTGTACAACAAGATCAATTATGAGAAGTGAACCATTTCACTTGTTGAGCATAAAACTAGTGGGCATTGGAACAGGCTGCCCAGGGAGGTGGTTGAGTCACCATCCCTGGCTGTGTTTAAGGGCCGTTTAGATGCAGTGCTAAGGGACATGGTGTAGGGGAGGACTTTGTAGAGTAGGGTAGATGGTTGGACTCGATGATCCCAAGGGTCTCTTCCAACCTAGACGATTCTATGATTCTATGATTCTAGTGCTGGATAGCACAGCTTAGTACTCTAATACCGCTAAGTATTACCTGTAAAAAAACCTAATCTAATGTGCTATCTGCAAAATAATGGAAAAAAACAATCAATCTTATCCACAATGCAATATAATCAGAAATTATTCATAGAGCTTAAATATGGTATTAAAACCTAGTGAATTGTGATGTTCTGAGAAACTTTAGCAGAACCAGCACTAACTATTTTAGTGAAAACGTAGTCCTCTTTCTAACTATAAAGCATTAGCTTGTCCCAGGGAGATTTTCAGTAATAGAGACAGTGCAGAGGCAACTGACTTAGACAGTGAAAGACTGATGTTGGTTTTTATGCACGTCAGTGGACCTGACATGATGATGATCTAATGTTTCTGTTACCTGTGGAATTACGAAAAGTTTTCTTAGGAAAAAAAATTGTACCATGACCTTTATGGAAGTAAAACCATAATTGTCATTTAAAAGCTATCTTGAATTTGTTAATCAGCTAAATATTTAATGTTAATTTTCTAATTCAGTTGCTGCCAGTGACCTGTAAATAATGTTTTTTGGTTTTAATCGCAGTAAGATAAAGGAGGTATGCATTCAAGCTGTCTTTAGACGTGGTTGTCTATGCTGTTTTGCTCTCTAGGAATTTTTACTGTAATTCCTATTTCCTGCTTTCCAGAGGAAGAGAAATCTAGTCTTATAAGCAAAGTCATGGATGCACAATTTCAGCATAGTATTTCTGGCCCTTACATATCCTAGGAAATAATTTCCATAATGGCCCATATATTTACAGAATCACAGAATCACCATGGTTGGAAGGGACCTCTGAGATCATCAAGTCCAAACTTAAAAACAAACAAACAAACAAAACAAAACACCAACAAGAAAACAAAAAATACAACACCCCACCACATCACACCCACCCACAAACCAATAATCTTGGGCACTAGAGCATGCCCTGAAGAGCCATATCTACATGTTTTTTAAATACCCCCGGGGATGGTGACTCCACCACCTCCCTGGGCTGTTCCAGTGCCTGACCACCCTCTCAGTAAAGTAGTTCTTCCTGATATCTAATCTAAACCTCCCCTGCCACAACTTCAGACCATTTCCTCTGGTCCTGTCATTATTCCCTTGGGAGAAGAGGCCAACACCCACCTCTCTACAACCTCCTTTCAAGTAGTTGTAGAGGGCAATGACATCCCCCCTCAGCCTTCTCTTCTCCAAACTAAACATTTCCAGTTCCCTCAGCCTCTCCTCGTATGACTTGTTCTCTAGACCCCTCACCAGCTTGGTGGCTCTCCTCTGGACATGCTCCAGCACTTAAATGTCCTTCCTGTAGTGAGGGGCCCAAAACTGAACACAGTACTCGAGGTGAGGCCTCACAGTGCTGAGTACAGAGGCACGATGACTTCCCTACTCCTGCTGGCCACGCTATTCCTGATACAGGCCAGGATGCCTTTGGCCTTCTTGGACACCTGGGCACACTGCTGGCTCATGTTAATCTGGCTGTCCACCAACACTCTTAGGTCTTTTTCTGCTGGGCAGCTTTCCAGCCACTCTTCCCCAAGTTCATAGGGTTGCCTGGGGTTGTTGTGACCGAAATGCAGGACCTGGCACTTGGCCTTATTAAACCCATTGGCCTTGGCCCATTGATCCAGTCTGTCCAGATCCCTCTGTAGAGCCTTCTGACCCTCAAGCAGATCAACATTCCCACCTAGTTTGGTGTCATCTGCGAACTTACTGACCGTGCACTCAATCCCGTCATCTAGATATCAATAAAGATATTAAACAAGACTGACCCCAAAACTGAGCCCTGAGAGACACCACTGGTCACTGGCTGCCAACCGGATTTTACCCCATTAATCACAACTCACTGGGCACGGCCATCCAGCCAGTTTATTTTTTCTCTGTTTATTTTGTTTGTATCAGTTTGTTAATGAGATGTCCAAAACTGAAAATCATTTCAAGACCATTTACAGTCCTAAGCTAGAAGACCAGATTTCTTACCCATGTTGTGATGATCTACACTTTATTTTCATGCGTTTTTACAAGAGGAGCCTATTTTTGTCCCAGGATCTCTTGTAGCAGTGCAATAACACACTTGGGAAAGCGCAAGTTAATTAGGAATGACAGTAATATTACTTCGATATAACAATAGTAACCTTCCATCTGAATTAGTTAAACATAAACATTTTTGTCTGAAATGGAAAATAGTCTTAATTTGTTTCTTAAAGAGTGACAGCCTAGTCATCTGTAAAATCTGTTTTTTCCCGAAAAATGTTAATCCAATGAGTAGAAATGAAACCACCAGGAGGTAACACGAATTCACAGACATGTTTGAATCCAACTTTGAGAACAGCATTTAAAACTCTAGGTTTAATAATATAAAACCTGAGCTACTACCATTTTGAAAACTCTTCGCTGATATTTTAACATTAAAGTTACTGGAATGCCTTCCTTTATTTAATCTTGCGCTGGACTCGTCACACTCATTGATAGTGTTATTGGAGGCCAGAGAGAGGGCAGAATGGGGAAATTGACAGAAAGTAGCAAGTCAGAAGGCAGAATGAAATGTTTAATTGATCTTGATCTTTACAAATTGTGATTCAGACCATGTGGTGCTTCTTAAGAGAATTAAAAGTGGCAACAATGAAAATAGGACATCTCAATTAAAGTGTACTAGCAATAAACATCTGCATTTTCAGATTTACTTAAATATCACTTTGTGCTGATTTTGGCATAATTCAAACAGTGGTGTTAGCTACCAATGAAAAAAAATGTGCAATATATAAATGCACTTCTAAACTGATGAACACATGTTTGAAACATCATGAAGTGTAACCTAGTGCTTTTAATTTTATACAGTAAAAGTATTTTTCAGGAAAAAAAAAAGGAAAAAAAAAAAAAAGAAAAAGGATTTCCAGAGATTAGTTAGTTAGTTAGTTCTGTGAAAACTACTCCTTAGCTGTATATGTAGAATGACATAAATTGAAAGTAAATAACACATATTTTAAACTCTGGAAAACTTTTCTAATAGGGGATATTTACAGTATTCAGCTCATTTGCATCACACAAAAGATAGAAAAGAATTCCTTCAAAATAATTAACATTATAGGGAACACTTCCACCACCAGGTCAAGAAAGCTGGCAATATAGTTGCTCTATTGATATATTAAAATGGGTGTGTAGGCTTTTCTTATGCACCCACCTTTTAACATTTGGAAAGGGCCCTTCAATTCTCTAAGCATTTCCCTATAGATTGCAAGTTTCATTTTAAACCTCTAAGCTGTTTTCCAAAACCTGAAATTCTGTTCTTGAGGTGAAATAATTTTGAGGCTGTTTCTCTTCTCACAAGAAGCCAGAAGTTTGACATTTCTGGGAGCGCTTTTCTTTGCTTTCCTGGACATCTTATTGTTCTGTTCCTTAAAGCTATTTTGACTTTGTTCCGTAAGCCCAAAGGACAGTCTTCCCCTGGCTGTTTGCTGCATTCCTGGGTATCATATCTTCCTGTCAGCAATTCATCATTCAGTGCTATTACCCTTTAATATGACATATTATTCAGACATAGTCTATCTATTGGGCTCAGACTCTTGGAGTTAGCTGCTAGATATATTTCCTACGAGGCATTTCCTGCAAGTGTCAGTTCTTTGAGCAAGATACCTTTGGCTGTTTGAACAACTCCAAAACATGCTTATAAAATTGGACTTCAAACCAGTTTTTTCCTATCTCATTTTTCATTTATCCACAACATTGACAGTAATCAGTGAAAACAATCAAAATAATGTCTAACTCCTCTGTCTCTATGAAGTAATCTGTTAGTTGATATGGTAACTTGTCATCAGAAATCAATTCTTGTCTGCTGCTGTTGCAGTACTGCTGGTCCTGAACCCATTTCTTTCAAGCTTTCTGTTATATGTTTCGCATCACCGTGGACATTCTTGGCCTTTTTTTTTTTCTTTTTTTTTTTTCTTTTCCCTAGAAAAAGTTTCTTTTGTACTCTCTAGATATTATTTAACTGAAGACATTTTACCTTTCATCCTAGGCGATTCTGTGATTCTGTTTTCTTGATGAGGCATTATTTTATTTTAATTTTATTTAAGAAGGTCTCCATATTATATCTGTACTTTTTTTCATCACAATCAGGAAAATACTGAGAGAATCTTTAAGCAAAGTGGGAAGAAAAGGCCCATGCACTCTTGTTTGAGAATCTATTTTTTAAAACCTCTGTTTATGAAGCTGTTTTATTAGGGAAATTGGTCAATCAATCTTGATGTCTAAATGAATTTCCCTGAATGTTTTTTTTTTAATTTTTTATTTAGATCAAGAGCTGTCCAGTCGTCGTCTCAGTGCACCTGTCCCATCCAAGTCCACCAGCAAGGAATCTGTTTTCCATCTTCTGTTTAAACAAAAACGAGGTATGTAATTTCTTGAGTCCTACTTTGATTTTTTTTACAAGGTGTGATCTTTTATGGTTCTTGAAATCTAGAGAGTGTATAAAATTTGTTGTATTGATGAGTGTAGATTATCAGTTGATGTGTTGAATCTGGCTCCTTGTGGAATCAAGAATTAGCCCCATGTCAATGAAGTTTGTTTTACTTAAAATAAATAAGTAAGTAATAATCAGAGGTGCATCCAGTAAAGTTCTTCTGAAGTGTGTATTGTTCTTTTTTTTTTTTTTTTTTCACTTATTTTTTCCTCAACTCGGCAATGATTTTCTTGGACTTTTGAAATATGATTTTTTTTATAAATAATGTCTTATCATCGAAGCACAAATGTCATGTGTGATGCCAAAGTGATGATTATGTGTAGAAGAAACAGGAGGGACGCAATCAGACCTCATAACAGGTGCTACAAGGGTGGATAGCCCATATGGTAATGTAGTCTTGATGTATTCCTAGGAAAGGCTTTGAATTAAGATATTTAATCCAAATTAATATAGTTGTGTTTTAGGAGCAACACCACTATAAAAATGTTTATGAAATGCTAGGTAGAAAAGCATCAATTATTAAAATTCTTACTTAAATTTAAATTGAAAGGCTTCTTAAAAGTTGTTGTTGTTGTTGTTTTTTTAAAATGAGAAATGATATGTTTTTGCAATAAGTACAAAAAATAATCTTGAAAAGTAATCTTTTAAATATATTTAAACTATTATCAATACTTATTTTATCAATTTATCCTGCAAGTCACAGTTTCCTAAAACCTGAAGTAACAGAAAGGAAAAGCATATAGTTGCTAAGAAATTTTCTTTTAAAATAAAATTTTCCTAGTTTGAATGATCAGTTAAGAAGAAAAGGAAGGGGTAAGAAATTCCTAAAACAAACGAGTTAAGATTTGTAACTGCTTTTTATTTTTACTGAATTAACAGAGAACAAAATAGGGAATAGACTTCACATTTGGTTCTAGATTTGCTTATCTTTTTCTTCAGACTTGCTAGTCCTTTCAACTGTTCTGGCCACATCTGATCTGAGATATGATAGGAAAGGAGTTAACTGCCTTTCAGTGTTGTAATTTTAACAAATTTATTTAGTGACTTGTATATGAGTTATTCAATTTATCTGGTGTTATGGTAAAGCTTGGGTTACCATAGAATTAGTGTATTTTAATAATTACATGTTACTCATTGATGAAGTATAGAAGAAGATAGGTAGATTTCTGTATTTGCACAGAGTATTTAAATTTTTTCCCTAATAATTATTTGTATAGATTACTTCTCAGATATGCTTTTCAATTTCAAAACACAAAGATAAATTAGTGATATCTTGGATTATTTACCAAAGAAAATATTTTTCCTTGCTAGTATCCCCCACAAACATATGTGTGAATGTCTGTTTCATCTTAACATGGATATCAGAATAAGCCATACCATTTCCCTTGAAGAAATGGTGTCTATCTCAAATTAAAGACCTGAGATACAGAAAAATGAAAAGAAGGTCACTTGTTTTCAATTTCATTCAAAAATTTGCCATTTAATGTGATTTTCCTGAAGGTGTACTTGCCACACCTTTATTTTGTAAAGGATGTTGTAGTTCCCAGCAAGGAACTGTTTTTATTTTCTCTCCTTGAAGCTTACTATGTCTCAACAATATTTCTGTGTTACATAGAAAGAAGGATTTAGAAGAAAAAGAAGATGTAAGAATAGAGCTGGATGTAATATCTTTTTCTATATCTACACTATACACAGGCATATATAAAAGTTATAACTGTTGTCTTGACATTATATAATTTTTTTTCTTCACAGAAGCATTGAGGAACTGTCCAATCTAATTAATGTACATAGTAAAACTGACAGAGCAATCACTTGACAGAAATATTAGAGCAGCAAAGCAATCTTTATAAATTGTACTTACCACTACTCATTCTTTTATATCTTGTATATTTTCATGATGTAAAACTTTTGCTCTGAAGCTTCTGCGGCCTAATCTTCCTTATTGGGAGGCCGTAAGACCGCTGAATGCATGCTTTTTTTTTGCACGTGGTTTCACTCACAAGTCAGGGACAGTGGAATCATGTTAAGAATAATTTTTATAGAAAGATGCTGTACTTCTTTCCCTCTACACTTAACAGTAGATGAAGTGTGGATTAGATGCAAGTGTTACTTCTTTAGCACTGTTGAAGAAAGAATACTTTGAAAGCATTTTGGAACCAAGTATTCTTCTTAGTAGACTTGCTGGAATATGATAGCTAGATTGTTGTATGCTTGTGGAAAAACCATGCTTGCTGCTAATTAATTACTTGTTTTTTCCTCACTGATTGTAAATACTGAAGGGAAAAATTCAGAAATCATGATATGCTGAGAATCTTGGAATAATTTTTTCATCATACTTTTACAAAGTGAAATTGTTACTCATAGCAGACTGTCTTTTTTCCTGCCTTGCCTTCACAGTAGCAACGTAGGTCTTCTGGACTGCTTGGTACTGTTTGCCAGTAACACAGACTGCATTGCTTCACCTGATCCTAATACTGTAGCTGTGATCCCATTTTGCATTTAACCTCTAGTCAATGCGTTTTATGGCTTAGCTGATGTTCCAGGTGGTCAATACGCCTGTCTGTTGTGAACGACTTTGTGTAGTATCAAACAAAAACAGTGAAAGGAGCAATTAGCTCAACCTAGTTTTTTAGATATCTCTCTCCACATTTCAGAATAAGAAATATTTAGAAACTTCTATATTTTAAAGCTGTCGTATCGTCTGTTCTGTGCTCATCTCTTTTACCTTTTTACTGAGATCTCTATGATTAGCTATTTAATTTTGCCTTCTAACTTTGCTTTAGTGTAAAATGTATGTATTTATTAACTCTCCCAAGCACTTAGGAAGGAAAGATAAAATATGTTTGATACATGTATACTCTGTTAGGAAGACATTTTCCCAAAAGCTGCCTGCAGTATTAAGCCACTTTGGTGGCAATCAAATTTGAGATATTAAAATTTAGCGTATGCACTTTGGAAGCATGTTACCATTATAGTTTCATATTTTATTCAACAATATTTGAGAAAAGCATTTTAGCATATTTTTTTTGTCATGTACAGTCCACTATGATTATGGATAATTTGGCTTTTAAACTAATTTCTCCTAAGAAATGGCATAAATTTTGTTCAGGTCCTCAGGCCTTTTCCCTAAAATGTTAGATTTCAAGACTTCATTTTTTAATTCTATACATATTTGCATATGCTTTTCTCTTTCAGTAATTCTGCATGCACAATCTGTTTTTTCTTGTGATTGCTTTCAAAGGCTGAAAAACACCAAAACTAATATCCTGGTTGTCTTAGTTCCTACCAAGTCTTTTATAAGGTTTTCACTATCACAAAATTACTTGAAAAGCTAGAAAAAAAAAAGAGCCATGAGAAATAGTTCTCCATTCTAGCAGACTATTTTCAAAAGGGATTGTAAAATAGAAAGCTGTCTTTCCTCTTCCATGTTTTAACTGCATTCTGTACCCATGGTTTGATAATTCACAACAACTAGAACTAATTTTACACTTTAGCTTATATCAGACATTGTGTGAGGAAGCAGTCAATATTAATGTAATGGATTCTGCAGGAAAGGGACAGTCAAGCAATAAAAAAGTGGAACAACCAGGCACGTATGCAATAGTATTCTATTTTTATCTTCATAAACAGTTATAAATGAAATTAACTGGAGAAGGACACATACACACATTAAGACCTCACTGCAAACCAAAATGAAATAAGTTTGGATAATTAGGATATTCACTTTAAAAAAAAAAAAGTAGTCTTTTCCTTCTTTTCAGGGTTTTATTTTCAGTATCTCCTCCTTTTTGGCACAGAACTTCACAGGGAAACTGAAGGAATTAGAGTTCCACTGAGATGCTGGAGAATTCAGGTGGCAGATTCCCTTTGAACTGCCTTAGTCTAAGTATTTTCCTCTTTTTTCTATGCAAGTCTTCCTTTTACTGACCAAATAGCTCTACAACATGCTATGTCACAGATATGTTAACTCCTTCAAGACTGGGTACCATTTATGCAGAAGGCTTTGCAGGTTGTTGTCAGATATCTGTCTGACTCCTTATGTCTAGGACCACGGGACAGGTAAGTTGGTTTTGTCATAGACAGAGAAGAAATGAGGTCAGAGAGGAATGAAGGCAAGGAGTAACCAGGCAGTCTTCTGAGTCAGTCATCAGTGGTTCCCACTGGTACTGTTCCTCAAGCTGCAGATATTTTCAGCTCACAGGACCAAAGTACTATTTTCTTTTTACTCTACTGTCTCTCTTTTTTGGGAAAGGGCACAGTTTGGTAGATCAGGTTTTGCCTTTTAGTGTCCCCTCTTTTAACCCTGCTTCTTCTGTTCCTGCTCCTGACATGCTGTTGGGGCTGGCCTCCTGGAAGGGGTCCAGGATTAACTCCTGAATCAATTCAGTGAACAAAGGAAGGTTTAGGTCTAGTTCTGTTATGCTACTATCAATATAGGACAGTGGCTGGATGATTGCAGACTGTATCTAGATGGAAAATTACTGATTGTTGGATACCTAGTACAAAAATTTATAGGCCATGTGTCCTCAACATCAGATTGTTAGAGAAAGGTTTACTGACAGGATGTTCCCATTCTAGACTGGTGGATTGTCCATGACTAGGGAGGTCCCATAGAGTCGGTTGTCTGTCAGCCAGGAGCTTCATGAAAATCTTGTGATACAGTCTTCACTGGAATTGTCCTTTGAGTGAGAGACCCACCTGTCCTGCACCTTGGGGTTATGAGGGTCCTTCCTCATTGGATCACTTTTGGGGTGGGCATCTTTTGCTGCGCACAAAGACACTTTGCAAGAAGGATTTATGCAATTTTAGAGTACACACCTTTGTTTTATTGGCTAATACATGCAGTAGGTATCTAGGACTAACATGCTGCTAGGCTAGTTATTAATATGGTCAGTATGCCCAATGAAACACAAGATGCATCTTTGCTGC